GAGGGCATGTGACCAGAAAATTTAAAGCTGGAGAGGATCAAGGGTGAGAACACCAGGTTCGTGCAGGATAGTCGGGGATTACTGACTCGATGCAGTCGGGTTTGGGTTCCGATGTCTGGAGGGTTTAGGCATATGGTTATAGAGGAGGCTCATAAGTCTCACTTCTCTATTCACCCGGGGGCCACCAAGATGTATCGGGATTTGAGTTTGAGCTATTGGTGGCCGTGTATGAAGGACGAGATTGTTTGGTATGTCGAGAGGTGCTTGACCTGTAGGATGGTCAAGGCCGAGCATCAGCGGCTACATGGCAAGCTGCTGCCCCTGGAGATTTCCATGTGGAAATGGGAGCAGATCATGATGGACTTTATCATAAAGCTGCCAAAGACGACGAAGGGGTTTGATGCCATTTGGGTCATTGTGGATCGATTGACCAAGAGTGCCCATTTCTTGGCCATATGGGAGAGTTCGTCAGCCGAGAAGCTAACCGAAGTGTATGTTCGCGAGTTCGTGTCTCGCCATGGGATTCCCGTTTCCATTGTCTCTGATCGGGATGTCAGGTTTACCTCCCGCTTTTGGAAAACGTTTCACAAAGAGCTGGGCACGCGATTGCATTTCAACACAGCCTTCCATCCGCAGACAGACGGCCAGAGCGAGCGTACTATTCAGACCCTCTAGGACATGTTGAGGGCATGTGTCACCAACTTCGGTGGGAGTTGGGATTCTCACTTACCGCTTGCAAAGTTCGCCTACAACAATAGCTATCATTGTAGTCTTGGTGCCCCACTATTCGAGTTGTTGTACGGGCGGAGGTGTTGCACCCCGGTTTGTTGGGGCAAGGTGGGTCACATGGTGATGGGTTGGACAGAGGTGGTCTTGCAGACTATAGAAAAGATTCAACAGATCAAGCAGCGATTGCAGACAACTCAGAGTCGATAGAAAAGTTACGTCGACCGACGCCGATCCGAGCTGGAATTTCAGGTGGGTGACATGGTTCTTCTGAAGGTCTCACCCTGGAAGGGCGTGATCCGCTTCAGGAAGAGGGGAAAATTGGGTCCCCGTTACATTGGACCATTCAGAATTATTGCCAGGGTTGGTAGGGTGGCTTATAGACTAGAGCTTCCGGAGGAGCTTAGCCGGATCCACAACACATTTCATGTTTCGCAATTACGAAAATGTATTATGGACCAGGAGGTAGTGGCATCGTTGGATGACATTCAGGTCGATGAGAGCCTGAACTATGTGGAGAGGCCTGTGGCTATTTAGGAAAGGAAGAAGAAGATTATGCGGAACAAGGAAATACCTTTAGTGAAGATACAGTGGGAACATCGAAAGGGATCCGAGTGGACATGGGAACCGGAGGCGAAGATGTGCGAGCATTACCTGACATTGTTTACTCCAGTGGACTTCGAGGGCGAAGTCTAGTTCAAGTGGGGGAGATTTGTAACACCCTGATTCTCAGATATTGTCTAAATACGAGTTTTGGGTTAAGCCCTACTCGACGAGTCGGTTGATCTACTTGTTGAGTAGCAGTGGGAAGGATCACTGGTTAAGTGACCTACTCGATGAGTCCATATTGGGTCTCGGCGAGTAGGAGCTGACAGCTGAAACCCTAAATCCCGGGGTTGTGCACCTTATTTAAGGGAACACTAACCTCTTTCAGCCTCTTTGTAGTCTCTTATCCAACCCTAATACGTGTGTGTGTGTTTGTGCATTGTGTGCTTGAAGCCTTGGAAGGGGATTTTGGTGAAAAGAGCTTGGGAAGCAAGTGGTTTGAAGCAAGGAGCTTGGGGGAAATCCAAATCTACTCCATTTGTCATCTCTTGGGAAGGTATTAAGTTGTTATCCTCCTTCTATTTAATTCTAGACATCCTTGGTTGGAGATTAGGGTTCTTGGTTGGATTAAAAATTCATTTCTAGAGTATAAGCCAAGATCTGAAGTTGTAACTTCAGATCTGAACTCTCTGAGGATTAAGGGACCATAAAGTTATTAGTTTTGGCAAGTTTGAGCCCCTCCCTATGTGTAAAACCCCATTTCAAGCATAGTTTGGGCTTTTTGAGACATTGGAGCCTTGCATGCACGTAAAGTTTGCAACTTTATGTGATAAGCAGGCCTAAGGAGGTTGGATCTACAATTTGGGGCCTTGCCACGGCTTAAAAGTTGTCTGCACGATAAAATGATTCATTGAACTCGACGAGTCGCGCAGTTGACTCGGTGAGTCCGATGAAGATTGCCATAAGACTCGACGAGTTGAAGAACAACCCGACGAGTCGAATGAGTTTTAACCAGGACACGTTGGCATGTATTTCCGTCAAGTTCAAGGAGGGAACTCGACGAGTGGCATTAAGGGTTGATCGAAGATTCGAAGAAACTCGACAAGTCACTCTGATGACTCGGTGAGGTGGAATGTGCTCCAGAGAACTCGACGAGTACCAAAGTGTACTCGGCGAGTTAAGGTCAACATGGACTGTTGGCCTAGATTGGGGACTTTGACTATGACCAGGGGTTGACTAGCGGTTTATGGCGTACCTTATAAGGTGAAGGAGTTATGAGCATGTCATATTATGGTAATAGGTGGTGGAGTCTTTGACAAGTGATCGGAGAGATTTGATTAATTACCGAGCTGACATCTTCGAGGTGAGTTATCGTCATTATACTAAGGGGTCTAAGGCACCAAGTCTAACCCATTGGATTTGATATCCCAGTAGTTATTGATATGATATGTTGAGTCAGTAATGTATGCCAGTTGATATGCTAGTCGGGTAGATCTGGAGGACTGCCTGTGACACTGATTGATTATCTGGATGTGCATTTATCTATTACATGTCGACATGTTATGTGGGGTGGGTCGAGTTTGTACTGCTCCGTGCGGTAGCCAACAAACCCGAGAGTATTCTAGATATGAACTGAGGGCCCGATAGGCATTCCAGACTCATACTAAGGACTTGGGAGCATTCCAGATACGAGTTGAGGGTCCGGTAGGCATTCCAGACTCGCATTGAGGGCTTGATGGCATTCCAGATACGAGTTGAGGGCCCGGTAGGCATTCCAAACTCGTACTGAGGGCCCACGGGTAATCCAGCTTGTAAAGTTGTGGGCCCAGTGTATGCTGTTCTGTTTTATTGATATGATATGCTAATGTTGATGTTACTATGTGGATTGTATGTGTATCAGTATTTAGGGGTAACTCACTAAGCTCTCGGGCTTACAGTTTCAGTTTATTATTTCAGGTACATTAGAGGATCGCGGTAAGGCGAAAGCGTGATCGTACTGCTCCTCCTATTATATTTATGTTTCTGGGAAAAACTCTGATAACCAATATTTTGAAAACAAAGTTGTAATGTTTTGATGAACTTGACATGTATAAAAAGTTTAAATTGGTTTGAAATTTTTGGGTGTAACAATTGCACTAAGTTGTTCTTCGAGGGTCAATGGTGATGTAAATCCATAATCACTAAGATGATCATAAAATACTCTCATTTGCTTTCAGATTGGAGAAACTTTTATCTTTGTGCCTAATAGATTCTTCTTATTTGTTCTAATACTCTTTGAATCTTTTTAAAATATTAGATAGTATAATCTTACCATTTATTTTTTTAAAGTAAAAATAATAATCCAAAAATTTAAAAGAAATTATCTTTAGAAAAAAAAACCTTTGTCAAGCAAATAAAATTAAGTTTGTTAAAATCGTTATTCTTGTTGTATGATCATACGATCCCACCTTAATAAAATGATCATAATCACACTTGGGTTGTTTTTTGGGCAAAATCAGGGTATAATCGGAGGATCAGATCGTAAGATCATATGATTGATCGTAAAATCATTACTATTTTTTTTGAAGTGTGTAATATTTTGTCTTGAATTAACTAAGTACATAGAATATTAACATAGAAAAACCTTTTGAATTTTTATTATCATAAAATGATATATTGTACAAGTATTTTTCATGTTTTTGGTAGGGTCTTACGGCCTCAGATCGATCCGATGACCCTAAAACTATCTTATGACCCTGAAATGATCTTCATATCAGAATTATGCAAAACAAAAAATAATCTTATATAAGATCTCAATCTTGACAATCTTGAATCTTGAATGATATCATTTTTCAGAAAATTGTAAAAAACAATTAGTTTTTAAAAGAAATTAAACTAATTTGATAATAGATATTCTTGTTAGACAAAAAGAATATCATAAGATTAGATTAAGATAATACAATTCTGTCAGAGAAATACAATAAGATATAATACAATAATAATTTGTATTTTTCTAAATAAAATTTGTAATTTTTTTTAACTTTTAAATTATTATTCGTTTATATTAAAAAATATTATAAGATAATATCATATGTTTGATAATATCATATGTCAAATTGGAAAATATAACAAGATAATAATTTGTGTCTAATGAAAAGATATTGCATTATATTATAATAAGATAATAAAATTAATATATATATATATATATATATATATATATATATATATATATATATATATATATATATATATATATATATATATATATATATATATATATATATATATATATATATTAAAAAAACAACCTTCAAAATTTGAAAATCTTTATAAAAAAACCCTCATATTTTATCCTCAATCAGTTTACCGGATAAAAGCTAAAATTCATAAATAATTAAAGGTTTTTTTTTTTTTTTTTTTTTTTTTTGACCTTAATTGCTAATAAAAAGAATATTAATACTTAATCGAATATAAAGATTTATGATATTTCCTTAAACGTTAATGTGATGTCAAATTGGGTTGGAGCAAACTTAATGTTATATTTAGTGTTTAATATATAGAAGAGATAAAAGGACCTTATACTTCACACTTAAGGTTTATTCCACAACATTTATCGGGCTTATATTGTTAAACTTCATAAATGGGAAATTGCATCTAAACTTAGAAAATATTGTGTTCTTATTTTTAACTTTTTATAACTTACTCTTAATTCTATATCTTTTGTCTACCATGAAACCTCGACCACCTTTGGTTTAAAATATTGTATTCGACCCCTTCCCTCTACAATACCTTGATTAACGTACTACTAAGAGTTCATAAAAAAAACAATAACCTTTTTATTTCAGACATGCATATACAAGCACATGGGAAACAAAAGAGACTACTCTCCGTCTCTCCCAGTGTTGATTAAGCATGCTTACACCAAACTACAGATTCGCATCATTGATTAAGCTTTCCAAGATGACAATGGAGGAGTATCGGAATCCTTATATGTTGCAATTCCAGCACCATATCTGTCTCCCTTCACTGAATCAGCTGAAGCAATAGCTTCAAGTTCAGCCATATCTTCTGGTGTTAGCTTCACAGATAAAGCTCCAATGTTCTGTTCAAGATTCTCAATCTTTGTAGTTCCTGGAATTGGCACCACATCATTTCCCTGGTGGTGAACCCAAGCCAATGCTAGCTGTGATGGGGTGCACCCCTTCTTTTCTGCCATCTCATTCACCCTCTCATACATGATCTTGTTATGTTCAAGATTTTCAGCTTGGAACCTCGGCATATACTACAAAAAAATAAAAACAAAACATCATATAACGGCCTCTTCAGTGGTAAATTTGAAGTTAAAATTATTGAATTAGAGGAGAGTATATAGGGTAACCAACATACCCTACGGAAGTCACCATCTTCCAACTTCTCGAGCATCTTCGGACCAGAGGAGAAAAATCCCTTTCCTAAAGGACTGTATGCAACAATACCAATCCCAAGTTCTCTGCAAGTAGGAATGATATCTTCTTCAACATCTCTTGTCCACAAGGACCATTCCAGTTGTATGGCTGTTATTGGGTGCACAGCATGAGCTCTTCTAATGGTTGATGCTGAAGCCTCTGATAATCCAACGTATTTAATCTTTCCTTCTTCCACCAGCTCCTTTATTGCTCCCATCTAAGAATAATAAAAGATTTAAGATCATTACGAATGGATGATGCAGTTAAGGACTGAAAGAGAAGATAGTGTGAAGAGGAGGAAACCAACTGTGATTTCGATAGGCAAACGATTGTCAATCCTGTGTTGATAATAAAGATCAATACAATCAACGCCAAGTCTCTTCAAGCTAGCTTCACAAGCATACTTTACATATGCCGGATCTCCGCAGACCTCCATCGCATCACTATCGTATTTGATCCCAAATTTGGTTGCGAGCTCCACTTTCTCCCTCAGCCCTCCCTTCAAAGCCTGCGCTTAAAGAAAAAGCTTGCTTTATATGAACCACAAAAGATCGAAATTATAGTTGCAGTACCATAAACCGATAGATTAGAAGAAAGTTACCTTGCCGATAAGGATCTCGTTGGTTTGAGGACCATAGATGTCGGAGGTGTCGAGAAAGGTAACGCCGGCGTTAATGGCATGCTGGATGAGGTTGATCATGTCAGGTTCAGGTTTGGGGGTTCCATAGAAAGCTGACATGCCCATACAACCCAAACCAAGAGCCGATACCTCTAAACCCTGTGAACCCAGTTTGATTTTTCGAACTCCTGTCATTTTCGAGGTTTGATCTTGTTCTACAGAGTGAATGATGAAAGCAACCCTCGCAGATCTCATATAGGGACTGAGAAGTTGGTAGTTGGTAGGATCTCCATGGCGAGGAAATTCAGGACATGTAAAGTAGCGAAGTAATATATTTTTAATTTTAAAATTAAAGAAGAACAGTATATGATATATAATTATAAACTATCAATGCATTTAACGTTTTAAGTTAACTAAATGCTGATGTTCTTCCCGAAAAGATAAAAAAAAAATATATATATAGAGATTGCTTGGATGTCGATGCGCATGCATATGGTGACTTTTATACCTAAGCGACGACTTTCACATGTGAGTAGAACTGATGGATGGACAGATGGTGGAAGATTCTCGATGAAAATAGAACTTTTTTGATTAAAGAAGACCAAACTTCGTTAGCCAAAATTGCAAAAGCCATTGTGGAAGCATCGTTTCGTCCTTATTAAGTTCTTTTTATTTTATTTAAGGTAATAACATAAAAGTTATTAATTTTATATGTGAATTCGTCTTTGGTAATATGTTATTTTTTATTTTAAATTGAAAGTTGTGTTTCTATTTTGTAATAATTTTGATTATTTAACCGTTCAACATTGTTGTTTCTGACTATTTGATCGGTCAAACTGATTGTTTGCTAACGTTATATGGTTGAATGATACGTTGATATGTCAAAATTGAAAAAAAAAATTACACAAATAAGTTAAGTTTTCATTTTTTTTTTTGACAAAAAGTTTTATTTTTTTTTTATTTATTTTCAATTTTGACATTTTGTTTTTTTTATCTGAATCCAATATCAATTTTTTCTAATTTTATACAATGTTGGCCATATTACATTTCAAACTGTATAAGTACATTTTTAACCGTTGAAACCATATAAATGCATTTTTTTCATTTAAAAAGCTATATATATATATATATATATATATATATATATATATATATATATATATATATATATATATATATATATTTGTATAAATACAAGGTTTTTTACATTAAAAGAACAATATTATATATGATATCTATCAGTTATAATGTAACTATACTTTTTATTAAATATCGTTACAAACTAAATGACATTTAATTACATAGTCTTTTAGTAGTCTTTTAGTGACATCTATTTTGTGCCACTATACTACTTTTAGTGACAATTTAATGCTACTACAAAAATTGTTAGATTTAGTGGCATTAAACATTTTATGATACTAATTATTATATTTTTAATAGCATAATAAGTAAAAAAGTACCAAACAAATGTATTATACATTATATGATTTGTTATGTTTAATTTAAATTTTCAATAAAAATTTTAATTAGACTAATTATACCAATTTCTATAACCTAAGTTGATTCAAAAAAGAAATTACCCCCGCCATCTTTCATTGTCAGAGGAAACACAAAAATTAGAAATCCCGCTCATTCCCTTCCAAAGTTCATCGATTTAGAAAGTTTTTGATAGAATCGCACCTTTTTCCATCGTCTGTGGTTCACGACTTGTCCTAATTTCCCCTGCTATTTTTTCCTATCTCGTTTGGCCTTCTCCTTCTTGGTGGTAAGTATCTATTCTCCTTTTTGTTCTCTTCAATTCAAATAGAAATTTTCGAGCCTCGTCTCCACCGCAAGTACATCTCGCTTTTTCTTCCACGTTCCAAGCTCCTCTCTCTGCATTGTTAACTTCCTCTAAAGTCTCCAAGATTTTATTTATGTCTTTCTTAATTTCAATGATTTTGTATTTTATTCTAACTTTGATTTCATTTGCTTAATTATATGAGATTTTATTACAGTTTTGGCAAAACGTAAATAAAAAGAATCTATGTTTAGGCCCAAATGGCAATAAAAGATCGAGTCCAAATAAAATAAAGTTTGCATAAAAGAGTTGGTTCAGAGATCCTCTTCCAATATAGTACCGACTTTAGCCATTAAGAATTAAGAAGAAAGTGATCAAGATGATCGATAGAAGGATTATAGTCTTCGTTAGAGCTAAACGATTAGCAGTCATAATTGCTAACTACCATGATGTGGTTGTACCACTTTAGAACATGAAGGAAGGTGCCTTTTATGTTAAATAGTTGACTCATAGGGATAATAGTCTAGTTCATTATAAATCCTTAGTGTCATACAATTAGAGGTCATTACAAATTGACTTTTCAGTCAGTTGTTGAAGCATGGTCATGTGTCAAACTCCCAGGAGGAAGAATGAAACTATTAGTACGAGAATGATAAGATAGAAGAGAGATGTCGTAGGTGTTAGTTCTTTAGGAACCCTTTGTAGCAAAACTTATAGAATAGGTGGTGACAGGTTTTGTTTATATTAACAGAATGTCAACTACACACCACGAAGCAGAGGACCCTATGATTATGTCAGACAAGGCATCACTACATGATTGGATTGTTGTTGAAGTTTAACATACCTTACTAGAAGAATTAACTAGTGTCGTGGGATGGATCACTGATAGGTTGGTCTTCAGGTTCAACGAATAGATCATGACCATTCAAATTGTTAATTAAGTTGTTAGAACCACTCATGAAGAAGATATTGGTCTAGGAACAAAACTAGGAAAGAAAAAAAAAGGAGAAAGACCCAACTTGGCGAACAATAACCAAGAAGCTTGATGGTACGATGCCAAACACAAGAACCAGCTGATTGCATACAGTTAGCAATAGGAAGGATTCAAACTCCAACACTTGTGGTTCCCCAGGAAAAAGGAAGAAGTTCTACATTTGTTGGAAAATGAACCCACATCCAATAAAGGAGTGGTGATGTATCCCATCAAAAAGAATAAGTAACACTAGTAGAAATGTTTGATAGTATGCTGTTATATCTATTTTTCCGTACGTATGTTAATATGTAACACAACAATCATCGTTATTGCTTGTAAAATGTTATTACAATAAAATCCTCATTTGTATGCGTTAGTAGATTACTAGGCAATGTTGTGTCTGTCATGACTTTATCTTGTTTTGGTCGTGCCATGCAAGAAAACCACTTACGGTGGGCATGATCACTAATAATACGATGAGAATGTCGAAAGTCATTGGAGATGACAACCACAAGTTTCTTCAAAGTCAAAGGGAGACACGGATGACATAGGATGAGCTAGCTTAATTTACAAGTACCAGCAGATGATGGGTCGAACCAAAGTGGGGTGGGGTGGTGGGGGGGGGGGGAACCGACCCTTAAGAAGAAATTACGAAGGGAAGTTCAACTTTCAATTTTGACATAAAAGCCTAGGAGAGTAGCAGCACGAGTAGGAGGAGACAGTTAGTTTTGTTTTCGGGTAACAAAAAAATGAAGTGTCCTGTTAGATTACCCATAGGCTATGAGTTTCTTGCTTCTCAAGGAAAGGTTGGTCTTTCCTCCCAAGTGACTAATAGGATTTAGGAACTATCTAAATTCCCAGGTGCAGATCAGATAGCCAAGAGAACCATCTATGTTCGTATCATCGCGAATGAAGAATATAACCTCGCAACAAAGATTCCGGAATTCAATAGGTGGTGGAGTTTTGCATAGAAAGCATCGAGTACTCAAGATATACACCAGACCTAGAGTGTTGATTTCAAATATAGTAAGAATTTACTCAACCCATTTCATAAGTACAACTACCAATCCATAGGTGGAGACCATTTAAAAAGAACAATGCCTATTAAGCAAATGGTAATACTTCAATGTTATATTAGGTTTCAGGGTAGAGTACGTGTTTAGTTTAGTTATTCCTTTAGTCAATAAGCATACAAATCAATATAAAACTAGGATCAAATTTTAACATTTATAAGTTGACATAGGACAACAGTTAGACTTTAGCATATATACAATGTAGATTAAGGACCTCTAAATAATTGAAGCCTTAAACATTTAAAAAGCAAAGATCTATTGTGATAAGTAAGATATCAATAAAGGAGGACGATTAAGTTCCTTTAGGATAGTCAGATAATGGTTGTGATTCTTTACCACCATCGAAATATTGATCATGAGTCTTTATGCCCGAGGGGGGGGGGATGACGACAAGAGTGGTCTGCTATTGAAATCCTAGTAGTTCGATAAGTATCCAAACGTAACATGGACGAATTGCTCAAACACTAGTTATACCCTTGATATATGTAATGTAGTTAGATCCTTGTAAGAGGGCTGTTAGGTGACCTAATGTTCATTATAATCTAGTAGGTTAAAAGATAAGCAAGTCGTAAAATAAATCTATCACCAATATTAGAGTATTGGTTCCAGTGTTGTCAAGCTAGTAAACCCATTATAGTAGTTTTGGTTCAAATTTAGGATGTTGGAACACCATAACTAGGTTGAAATACCATTTGTAATCTAGATTGTGTGCCTTTTAGAGGCATATTTCGAGAAGTTGATTTTGTTTGGATATCGTAGATGAATTTTCATAATTAATCAAGTTGATTGTGTGCAAATTTTACTTCTAAAGGTGTTCATCAATTGTAGTCCAAACCGAAAAATTCCTGGTTTTGGAAGACTTCGCAATGATTCTAGGAGTACGTCTGTGGTAGAATATGAAATTCTACGACCGATTAAGTACGGAGGGGCGAATTTGATGCAACAACATCTGCTAGATATTAGGTTGATCATGTAAAGGCCCAGTAGGATAGTGTTGGTTTTTTCCTAAAGTGTCTTAAGAGTAGGATTTCAGAGACAAAATTTCTATAAGCGGGGGAGAGTTGTAAAACCCCATTTTCATTTTATAGTATAAATGGTCAGTCATGTAAGTAGACATCGTTGATAAAAGACTATTTAGGATAAATAGTCTTGACAAAACTCATAGTAATCACAAAAATGAGAGCCTTCATAGAGAAAACGTCTGAAAATGACTTCATAAGAGGAAGTTATGATTTTTAGAAGTTTCAGCATAGCAGTGTACGACACAAAAGCTGAATAGAGATCGAACAAGTGTTAGGAAAAAAATCTAAACGAGAGTTGAAGATCTCATCCATATGATTTTGTTGACATAAAGGCAGTCAAGAACGGAATTCATTTGAGAATTTTTATATGAGCTTTAACAGTCTAAGCCTGTTAAAAATATAACTTTAAAAATACATTCAAAATTAGCCGACTGTAGCACCCCGACTCCTAGGTACAAGTTTAAAAGCCTTATTTACATATTAATGGGCCTACTCGACGAGTTGCTTGCCCCCAACTCTTCATGTAGAGGCGGGTTAGCCCGTATGGATCAATGGATCTACTCGACAAGTCGAAGGACCCGGACTCGACGAGTAAGAGCTGGGAGATGAAACCCT